TGCAATGTAATGCTTAATATTACAGCAATTAAAATTCCAAACTTAAATCCATGCATTGTAGAAAAGAATTTAGTATTTCAACCATTAACATCCAATTATGCATAGACCAAACTTGTTAATTAAATGATCCTAGTGTGCAACCAAAACAAGATTTAGAAATATAAACGTATTCCATTAAATTGCTAAAATTAAATTAGGCAATTAAACTCCTTCCATCCGTTAATCGCCTGTACCGTTGTACACTTTCCTACGGTTAAATCCATGAGTACTAAGACCTTAATTTATTAAAGGGGGCTCTCATATATCGTGGTATAATGTTTGGAAACCATGTTATAAACTTTTTTAGATGCTAGACACAGTTTGCACAATTAAATCCTCCCGATCCGTTAAGTCCGTAAACAGCCTGCGACTTGCTTTAGATTTTCCTATGGTTTAAAACATTGGCATATAAATAAATTAATACATCCTAGGGCTTTAATACTCCATGAATTAGTATTTAAAAACCCTTACAGTAGCCCAAACACACTTCAAAAACCACAGCTGAACCTAACTGTGCACAAAACTACTCCAGTATATATAAAAGAACACAGAGCCTTCTCCCAAAACAAAGGAAGCAGGCTTTAACCTACCTAGAGTCGGCTCCCATAACCTTGGAGCCTGCTCTAATAGAGTGGGAGCCGGCTCTTTGCTTCCTAGAGCCGGCTCTCCCTCTTTGAGAGCCTTCTCTACTTCATCTGCTTCGTTTTGTTTCGTCCGGTTGTCGTCTGTGATTCCGGCGAAATCCAGTGTCCTACCCCAAACCTTTGTAGCATTCTTAAGGTTCTATTCAAGTTCCTAAAGTCCTAGAAACCCTACATATTCCAGTGTGATGTAATTGACAAAAACCAAAACCCCCACAAAACAGTTTATGAAACAATCCAGTTTTAATTTCAAGAACGCAGAACAGATTACTGAAATAATCTAACATGCTTAAAGTCCATTTTAACAGTTTAATTAAGTTCCTAGAGTCTATATAGGATGCACAGAACACAAGTTTACAGGAAAGAAATAGACTGAAACTTGCCTTAAGATTCTAGTTTGAAATCTTCATCGCCGTCTCTAAGTTTTAGAATTTCTCCAAGACTATTCCTTCCTCTAATCACTGCTCCAGTTCTATCTCACAGTAAACCATTCCTTCCTCCTTGATACGACTTTCAGTTCCATTGCTGAAAGCCCTTCCCAGTTTTCCTTTCATGTTTTTCCCCTCCGCCTCTCTGTTTCTCTTTTTCTCTAGTTACGGGAACAAAGATTGTTTTAAAAACCCCTTGCTAGACTTACAACTTATATATATATAGGCTCCATTAAAACCCTAATCCTAATTCCACGACTCATTATATGTCGGCTAACTAATCCTCCTAAAAGAAAACCCTAAATCTACACTATATACACCACCATATAAAAATATACCAATAAGTCATTTTAAAACACACATCATTTAACCTACTTTTAATTAACTAAATTAAATCTCAATTAAATCATTAAAGTGACATAGACAAATAAAATAAATAGATAACAATCTAAAATTAACCGATTAAATAAAACAAATAAATAATTACTAATTACAATTAATCAATTAATTTAAACAAATACAATTAACACAATTAGTCAAATAAGTCAAATAAGCACATAAGTCACTTAGTTAAATAAAAATGCAATAAAAATCATAATTAAATTCCTATTTTATCCTTTTGAAAAGTAGGGATATTACACATGGCAACTTCATGGCGTCATTTGGGGCCAGGTAACTCAACCACGCTAGGGCAGTCTCCTTGATTCCCTCTAGGTTGCACAAACGCCATGGACCTTAGGCAACTCCTAGGCGACTGGGTTTTTCACAAACCTTTGTTCAAAACTGTTCCCCAAAATATTTCATTTCCTTTCAAGGCAATTTTTCCCATTTCATACCCCATGATATGCGTGAGTGCCTCATGCTTTCCAATAATATCCCAAGAGAGAATTTCATACTATACAAGTCAAACATTCACTATATAACAAGCCTTGGAGGAAATTTCTAAAAATAATCAACATGCTTCTATATTGCAAAATCTAGCAATTTAAACACAATAGGCATGGAATACTACCACTTAAGCATGTTTTTTCATACAATATCAACTAACGCATAGTTACATGCTTCATATACAATAAATAGGTCATTTTAAAAGAAATCAATACAAATTAAGCATGCTATACAACAATTTAGTAAGGATTAACTCACAAAAATCAAAGAAATTGTATATTAGAAACTCCTAACTCAAATTGAAAAAAAAAAAAGCCCTAAAAATGCCCCACAATTCGAAAATCCAAGGTTGGCCAAACGGGACTTGGCTCAAATCAAATCGAAGATCTTGACGAGCTCTCAAACTTTGCCTCAAGTAGCACTATCAAATTCTCAAAGATGAGAGAGAGACTTTTGCTTGATTGAAGAGGAAAAAGAAAAGAAAAAAAAAAAAAAGAAAAGGTAGAGAGAGAGAGAGCCTGATCTGGAGAGAGAAAAAGTGAGGCCATATAATGGACTTTTGGCCATAAATTGGTTAATTGGTGGTTGGTCCCACCATAAAGAAAAATTTGACATTTTCTCTATAAAAAATATATATATACATATAAATTAAATTCCAACAGCACATTCTTAACTTACAACAATGTAATTGTGCACAAAATAATTATGCATGAAATGTAGTCGATCCGTGACACAACTTTAGTGCACAACGACCTCGGTAGCGAGTCCCACCTGGGACCTTCCAACCCAAAAACTAAAAAAATGCTGAAATGGTCACCGATACATTTTCAAGAATTCTAGACTCAAAGAAATGTCCCAAACAACTCTCTGACACACTCGGCATACATCACGGCGTTGGCACGCAAAACGAGAAAAGACGAAAATGTCCTCGAAAAAAACAAAAAATTTCAGAAAATGAAAAATGGCGAAAATCGGAAACATTACAAAAATAGTTGGTAAAAGTCACTTGTACTCCCTAGTTGTTTTATATTAATTTTCAATTCTATGCATGGAATTGGACATCGATGATTTTGTGTAAAATAATGATAGTAGTCTGAAAGTCGCATGTATCATACTATTTTATGTGAGTAAGGAATGAAATCATTGTGATGTCATAACATTATCATGGCGTCGTTCCTTATTCACATCATTTTAGTCTATTATTGAATTCACAATTTATCATGCTCGACTGACTTGACTTTAAAATTTTTAATTGGTGAATTGAATAAAATCCTCTTGATTACGTTTTGTAGTAAACACTCCTCCCAAAACACTACAAGTAGGTGATTATGCAATTCCTCCCCTATGAATTTTATTTAATTTTATTTTTGGGTACTTTTCTTAAATTAAAAGTATGATGACTTGATGAGGCATCTAACTAAAAAAATGTTCAAATATTATTATTCAAGTAAATAAAACAGAATCCTTTAGCTCAATTCATACAATTGGGCAAATGACATAAAACCCTTCTTAACTTGCTAGGGGTATTGGGCAAATGACATAAAACCCTTCTTAACTTGCTAGGGGTATTTTTGGCCATAATTCAAAAAAAAAAAAAAAAAACACAACCTCTGTTAGTTGTGTTATTTTTTGCAAATAAGAGGAATTAATGCAATTCGGCCACTTATCGCAATTCATTCAAAAGGAAAAAATTTTGATTTTTCAGGGAAAATAAAATAAAAAATTCAAAGTCCTATCTAAAATTGATTGATGTATTTTAGTGAAAATGTTCTGCGTATAGAAAAGAGAAATTCACTGAGAAAAAGGGTTAGGGAGCTTTGATATTTCCGAATTCAATTCTCTATCATGCAGTCTTATGGAGAGTCTTTCTGGGTGCATGTGCGAGATTGAGTGTGTCAAGGGTTTTCAAAGGAGGTACCTAGCATATATTTCTCTCTTGCCAAATGTGATACACAAAAAGCCAGCCAAGGTAGTCATTGATGCTTTCTTTCTAATAGCTTAAACTTCAATTTTCAATTCGATTGAATGGAACATAGATGATATATATATATATATATATATATCTTCTGTGTGTTCTGTATATGTAATCTATTTTATGCCATGGAGTCCAATTCCTTGACTTGACAATCTCTAGAAACCAGCTCTTGGGTTCTTATTCCTCCAACAATTGGGAATCCCTCATATCTTGAAGTCCAAAACCTCTTTTCCAACAATCTTTAGTTACTCCTTTTATCAGCAATAACCAATTGAAAGGAAAATTGCCGTTAAACATAATTACGAATTACGAGTGTTAACGGCAAGACTTGTTGGAATCAATGTATTCCAGGTTGGGCATTATCCTGATTGTGTTCTTTAACATTCATACACACTCCAGCCCATAGAATAGTCTTTGGCTTACGAAGTTTGGGTTGTATCTTGGAGCTGCATTAGCAGACTACAACTGCATAGGTGGCACCGTAGGCCAATCCTTTGAAGCTTTGTTTTTTTGTTAATTTTTCATATTATATTTCACTGCTTAGTTTATGTTAATTTTGTTCACAATTCACTATATTGGTTTTATTTAAAATTTTCTAATGTTTTGATCAAAACAAATAATCTAATTGTCTTTTTATAGTTTATAGTTCTAGTTCTTTCTGGTAGGCGTTGATGATTTCTTTGTGATTGCTAATTAAGGGAAATTTTTAGTTCAAGTACATGCAACTAACTCCAAATGTGGCTCTCTCATCAGTCTCTGCTATCTCCCTAACCTATTTAGGATTACTATTGTGCGTAATCAATTGAAAGCCGGCTTTGTTTAAGTTCAGTCTACGTTGTTATTGCATCTAAACTCCAAATGTGGCTCTCTTATCAGTCTCTGTTTTTATTTTTTTTATTTTTTATATCAAATCATCTCTCTTCTGGGCCCCTTGTAAAAGAGTAAACCAGTAACATGAAACCTTAAACAAAACTAGGCATGATGACATTTAGAAGATGTTATATCCTCTTTCTCTCTTCGTTTCCATTGATGATCACACCAGCTTCAGCTATAACAGAAGCAGAAGCACTTCTCAAATGGAAGAACAGCTTGTTGTCTTCTTCCCTCGATTCATGGTCAGTTGCTAATCTCAAAAACCTTTGCAACTGGACCGGCATCGCATGCCACCCTACTACAACTGTCTATGAGATCAATCTTTCCAATGAATATATCATTGGAACACTTAACCAATTCAGTTTCACTTCTTTTTCAAATCTCGAGTATTTCAACCTGACCAACAACAGCTTCAGTGGGCCAATTCCATCTGCCATTGGCAATCTCTCCAAGCTCACTTTCTTGGACCTGAGGAGAAACGTCTTCAATCACACCATACCTTCGGAGATCGGATTGTTGACGAAGTTACGGTACGTTAATCTTCGGTATAACAATCTAAGCGGTACCATTCCATATCAAGTTAGCAATCTTCAAAAGGTACAAGTCTTAGACCTTGGATTTAACTTATTGGAAACTTCTGATTGGTCAAAGTTCTCAGCTATGCCATCATTGACATTCCTTGGCTTTTATTCCAATCAACTTACCATGGAATTCCCAGATTTCATATCCAGTTGGAGGAATCTGTCAGTGCTCGAATTGTCAAATAATAATTTCACTGGAAAAATACCTGAATGGGTGTTCACCAATTTAAGCAAGCTTGAAAATCTTTATCTCGGACAAAATTCATTTCCTGGGCCATTGTCAACATTGAATTTTTCAAAACTTGCCAAGCTAAAAGTTCTTTCCCTATCCTTCAATAATTTCACAGGTCCAATTCCTTCTAAGCTTGGCCTATTTACTGACCTTACCGTATTGGATCTAGGCAGCAATTCACTTACTGGGAAAATCCCACCAGAGATCTTCTTATTGTCAAAGCTCCGGTATCTCAGTGTGTCTGACAATCAACTCTCAGGTCCAATTCCTTCTAATCTTGGCCTATGTACTGACCTTACCCACTTGGCTTTAGACATAAATTCACTTACCGGCAAAATCCCACCAGAAATCTTCTTATTGGCAAAGCTCCAGTATCTCAATGTGAATGACAATCAACTCTCAGGTCCAATTCCTTCTAAGCTTGGCCTATGTACCAACCTTACCTTCCTGGCTCTAGGCAACAATTCAATTACTGGGAAAATCCCACCGGAGATTGTCTTCTTGACAAAGCTCCAGTATCTCAGTGTGTATGACAATCAACTGTCTGGCTTGAAACCACCTGAGATTGGAAACTTGAAAGGCTTGATGATGCTATTCCTTTCCAGGAACCTACTCTCAGGTCCAATTGCTCCAACAATTGGGAATTTGACATTGCTGACTCGTCTTGATATCCGTAATAACCAATTGAATGGAGAGTTGCCTGATACCATGCCCAGACTAAATAATCTTCAGTTGCTCGCTCTAAGTGGAAACCAAATCTCCGGTCAACTTTCACCAAAGTGGGGAGAATGTGCAAACCTCACATATTTACTAATGGATGGAAATAAATTTTCGGGTGAAATTCCAGCTCAGCTAGGAAACTTAATTCAATTGCTCTTTCTAAGCCTGGCCTCGAATGAATTCAATGGAGAAATGCCATCTACTATTTGCAACTTGATTTCTCTTGAACTTCTTGATATGTCCAATAACAGCTTGAGCGATTTGATTCCACAATGTTTGTTGAACTTCAGCAGTGAACTCTTGCATTTGGTTTTGCGAATGAATCACTTTCACGGATCCATTCCAGCAAATTTCAGAAAGTGCAACAATTTGAGGAATCTCGGCTTGAATGGTAATCAGTTAGAAGGGTTGGTTCCACAAACTTTGGTAAACTGCAGAAAGTTGGAAGTTCTGGATCTCGGAAACAACAAGCTAACCGATACATTCCCCCAGTGGATGGAAAATCTTCCGGAGCTGCGCGTTCTTGCCTTCAGATTCAATAGATTTCGAGGCACAATAGGTACCAAGAGTAAACAACCCTTTCCTAAGTTGCAAATCATTGGCCTCTCTCAGAATGAGTTCAACGGCTCATTGCCAACAAAATATTTTGAGAAATTCAAAGCAATGATGAATGTGGATGAAGGTAGGTTTGAAATACTTGGGGGACTCATATTATGGAGCTTCTGTGACAGTGGTGGTGAAGGGAAATGAGGTTGAACAAGTGAAAATCTTAGATGTCTTCACAGCCATTGATTTATCAAACAACAAGTTCCAAGGAAAGATTCCAAGTTCCATTGGGAGGCTTAATTCGCTTCGTGTTTTCAACTTATCTCATAACAGCTTCTCAGGCCATATTCCATTATCGTTGGAAAACTTGCTTTTGATTGAATCACTAGACCTCTCTTCAAACCAGTTGGTGGGAGAGATTCCTTGGCAACTGACAAGCCTCACATTTCTTGAAGTCTTGAACCTTTCTCAACATCATCATGTTGGACCGATACCTCATGGCCAATAGTTTCATACATTTGAAAATAATTCATACTATGGCAACCTGGCATTGTGTGGATTACCATTGACAAAGTAATGTAGAGACGATGAGCTACCTCAGCCACCAACCTTGCTCCTTCAAGAGCACGATTCAAATTTTGCAGGTGGATTTACTTGGAAAGTTGTTCTCATAAGATATGGGTGTGAATTGATGAGCGCTGAAAAGTGCGCATTTAAACCCCTTAAGCTTAGGTTTTCTAGGACCTTTATCTATCTTATTTTTCCGCTTTAGATTGATTTCGTGTTATTTCCATTTTCAGGTACTTATCCCTAAAATAAGCTAACTCAGCCAAATAAGAGTAGAAATGAAGCAATTCTGGGATGAATCAAAGAAAGGAGCAAAATATAGCAAAAGGAAGCAAAAGGTGGAATTTCAGCAACTTCGATCGATCTCAAGAAAAATTCGATCGATCCAACTTTCATCGATCTCAGCACTTCAAGATGGATCTGAGCCATGTTTGTCCCTATTCAAAGATCCCAAAGTTCGATTGATCCAACTTGATTCTCTGATCGATCGAACTTTCTTGTCCTTATACAAATAATTGATCTTATCCAACTGTACTACCCTACCAACCTGTGATACCCCTTAGATTTAAGACACGGGTTGATCAGGCCCAGGCCCAAACCCAAGGGATATCAAACAAATAATATGTAATTGAACACAGAATACAAGATGAAATAAAAAATAAAAATAATAAGCTGAAAGAATACTAATTGAAAATCATTTCCATGATTTAATTGGTTTTTGCCTTTTGCTTTTCTTTTGAAATGGATCCTTTTAAGGCATCCGGAAATGGAACTTTTGATTCAAACACTTTTTCAGAATTTTCTTTTGAAGTCTCTTCAACACAAGAAGTTTTTAAATCATTTTGATTCAAATTATTTTTCAACAAAACCTTTTCAAATTCATTTTTTTTGCAAATCTTTCTTCAAATCATTTTCAAAATTATTCTTCAAATCACATTTCGAAGTTTTCTCATTCACAAGATCATGTATATGCAATGAAGGAGGAATGGGATGTGAAACGGGACGGGTAACAACTTGAGGTTGCACCTGTTCACTCTCTTCATTGGACATTTCAACTTGATTGTCGACAATCCTACCACTCTGCAAGGTAGTCACCGCATTAACATGTTCAATGGTGTGGCCTTCCGATGAGGAATGGGTTTCCACAACACATTGTTGCTTAGGTGGGGCATTAATAGGCATCTCTCCCTTCTCTCTTGCATTGAGAGTGCTTGCTATTTGCCCTACTTGGGTTTCTAGCTTCGCAATAGATTGAGAGTGAGAATAAAGCAATTGAGTGTTAGCCTCTAAAGTGCCCAAAGCATTCAAAACTTTTTCTTCAAAGGCAAGACTTCTAGTATTTCCTTAGGAATAAGATTGGTTAGGAAAATGAGAATTAGCAAATTGATTCCCTTGTGATTGATAAGGTCGTTAACCTTGGGATCCTTAGTTTTGAAGTGGAGGTGGAATGTACTTCCCTTGAAAACTGCCTTGGGAAGGGTTTGAGCCCTCTCCTTTGTTTTTCTAAGAGAAATTCGGATGATTCCTCCAACTTGGATTATAGTGAGTACCATAAGGATTGTTCCATTGGTTCACAAAAGCTGCATTGACTTGTTCATTAGGGTCATTTTGCACTTGTCCGTGAGGACAATGAGAAGTAGAATGAAGAACACTAGAATAAGTCATACATGTTTCATTTGATGCACGATGAGAATGGTTAGGGAAGGAAGATACTTGGTTCGCCAAGTTTTGGTTAATCAAGAATTGATCAAACCTTTGAGATAAGGACTTCATTTCGGCGGCTATTTCATTTGAATGGTTGAATTGATGTAAGGCAACACTCTTCCTACCTTGTGAATTTCTACCATTCTTGGATGATAATGTTTTATGCAAAGAATTTTCACTCATGCTCTTATAAAGACGCCACACGTCATCCTCATGCCTATCAATGTATGAGCCACCCATGGAAGCATCAACCATGCCTTTGTAATTGTCCCATAAGCTCTCAAAAAAATATTGAACTAATTGCTATTTGGGCATGTCATGATGTGGACACTTCCTAAGAAATTCATTGAAGCATTCCCATGCCTCATGAAACCTTTCTCCATCCCCATGTGAAAATTCTCGAATTGAGGTTCTTATGGCATTGGTCTTAGAAACCGGATAGTACTTCTTCAAGAACTCTTGTTGCATTTCTGCCCAAGAAGTGATTGAAAAAGGCCTAAGATTGTTAAACTCATACTTTGCCTTGTCTTTTAAGGTGAATGGAAAAAGTTTGAGTCTTAAAACCTCTTCCGGCATGTCCGTATATTTTATGGTGGAACATACTTCAAGAAACTCATCCAAATGCTTGTAAGGTTCTTCACTTGGAAGTCCATGATAGTTAGGAAGTATTTGAATGGTTTGTGGCTTAATTTCATAGTAATGTGCTCTAAATGGTGACAATTGAATGCATGTGGGTGCATTATATTCATTAGGCACATAGTGACCTCTTAAAGTAAGTGGAGGATTAGCAATTTGAGTTACAACGTGGGCACCTTGATTTTGATTTCCTTGAATGATAGGAGGTTGCGGAGCATACATTGGCCTTGGCATTCCAAATGGAACTTGGCCTTATTGTTGTTGTGGTCGGTGAATGAATGGCCTAAGCATGCCTAATGGTGCTTGAATGTTCTCATGATGCACATTTGAATGAAAGATACCTTGTTAGTCTATGTGACCAAGGTCCTCTACATTTTCTTCATTATGGCCTTCCATTGATGTAATGGATCGGGTAGAACTAGAACTTCCTCTTCTTCTGGGATTTCTAATTATGGATTCAAGATGCAAATCAAGAGGGACAAGAGTTGGTCTTAGTGATCTATGACCATGCATGCACAATGTGAAAACACATAAACACAATGAATGAAGAAACACTTCAACTTCACAACAATTTCAATGAAACTTCCTCCACAAACACTTAACCCATATTCCTATGCTTTAACAACAATGATGCAATTTTTTTTTTCTACTTTATACATATATTTTTTAAAATAAAAGCAAACCGACTTAAAATGACTTCACAAGAAAATGTCTTTAGCTGCCGAACCTTTTTACAATTTACAATGACTAGCATTTGACTTGGAATTATTTGCTAAGTAAAATACAGTACATATATAAAAGGGCAGTCTCCTTACTTGACTTCTGGGTCTCCATGTGTTACGCGTGTTTGAAAATTAACCGGCCTCTATAAAGTTAGCGTTTGTTTTGGCCAAATTTGCATGGCAGTGACGTGGCAATTATTGCGGCATATTACGCTATATACGGAGCAAAATTGGGGGTTGATAAATTATATCAATTGATTTGGGGAGATAAAGTTTGGAGTGATGGTTATCTAAAATTAGTTTAATTTGATCGTATTGAGCTTATCAAGTAAATAATGTAACTTGGGTTGAGTAATCCGAACTCAATCTAAGCCTAATTTAATTTTTTGCGAGCTTGAACAATCATTTTTATAATTAGGGTTGGGTTTGGGTTGAAAATTTTTAACTCAAATTTAATTACGGTTGGGCTTGGATTGAAGTGCTAGTAACCCGAGTTAACCCGAACCCGAATTATAATATTATTTTCATAAATACTTTTACTTTTAAATGTATTATATATAATATTTAAACTATGATTACCTTTTTTTTCTTTTCAACATTTTTCGTTAAATTTTAACTTATTGTATGTTAACATTTAGGAGAATTCATTTTCTAAAAATTTTGTTTGTAATTTATTAAAAATCTACAAAAAGTCTTTAAACTTCTTCTTGTTTAAGAGTAATTTAATCTAAAACCAATTTAAGATTATATTAAATTTTCGGTATAAAAATTAGTCATATGAGCAACCCAAATTAACCCAAAGTTTTAACCTGAAATCTAAGTCCGAGTTGTAAACTCGAATTTAAAAGTAGAAGGATGGGTTGGGTTCGGGTTGAGTAGTTAAGGTTGAGGCTAGGATTAGAATTGGGTTTGGGTTTAGTATTTCATATGCTGGATTAGGCTCAAGTTATATCTCAAATTCGCTCAAGATGCAGCCCAACGAGTAAGTTATTTGAAGGAGTTTTATTGTAATCCAATTACTTATTAATAGGAATTAGTTATTTTTGGGATGCTATAAATATTTGTGAATGCATACTTTGTAAAAGGTGGAGCACCTCGTTTTATTCATTATAATTCAACTTCCTTTCAATCATTCTTTCATAGTTAAATTTACTTTCTTTATTTAGCTATACTTTCCTAGTTCAGCTTCTTTTCAATTTAATTGTTCTAATAAAATCCCTTCCATTAGTAGTTTCCTGTTAATTCTTTGTTTTCCTTTTACGTTGTTCCAATATTTTTCAATTCCAATTTCCTATTTTCAATGCAATTCGTTCCTATTTAAAGTCTTTTTCACTTAAAGCAATTGAACCCATTAAAGAAAGTTCAATGTTCTCTCTTTCTACAATCACTCGGTCAATTATTTTCCTCTTGGACCCGAAATACTTTTTTTGAGAGTACTAAATAATCCTAAATAATCCCCAGAACTCACGCGGTAGGAAAAACGAGGCGTATAAATAAAAAAAATAAAATAATAAAAAAATACGGGACATTACAAACTCTCTATGCTAGATCTGCGGATGAACCGCTTTCATTGGATTGTGCCTGCAAATTCCACAAAGTGTAATAATTTGAGAGATCTCGGCTTGAGTGGAAATCACTTGGAAGGGCTGCTGCAACTAGGTTCGGTCAATTTTAGACCCTTGGAAGTTATTGATCTTGCGAACAACAACATAACTGACACATTCCCCCATTGGATCGATAATCTTCCAAAGCTGTAGGTTCTGGTCTTGCCATCTAACAGATTTGGAGGTACACTAGATACTTCCATGAGTAAACTACCCTTTTCCTATGTTGCGAATAATATATTGACCTTTCTCATAATGCATTCACCGGCCCCTTGCCTGCAAAATATTTCAAGAATTTCAAAGCTATGATGAATGTCGATGAACATAAAGTGGGTCGTGAATACATGGATGAAAATTATTATCAAGATTCAGTAAAGGTGGTGGTGAAAGGGCTAGAGCTTGAACAATTGAGAATCCTAACCAGCTTTACAACGGTTGATTTATCGAGCAACAACTTCCAAGGTGAGATTCCGGACCTCATTGGGATGCTTCATTCACTTCGGTTACCCAACTTATCTCACAACAGTCTTGTCAGACATATTACATCATCTATAAAAAAATTGACTCAGCTCGAGTCATTGGATTCTCTTCAAACTAGTTAGTGGAGGAGATTCCTTGGCAAATAACAAGGCTAACATTTCTTTGGATCTTCAACCTTTCTCAAAATCATCTCGTTGGACTAATACCTCATGGTCAGCAATTTGATACATTTTGAAAATAATTCATACTATGGAAACCTGGCATTATGTGGTTTGTCGTTGACAAATAAATACGAAGAAAATGAATCACCGCACCCACCAGTGGCCGCATGTTTTAACACATCAAATTGTTGGTCTTGGGACATCAATTCGACAAAATGGTTTTCAAAAAGGTTCAAGATCAAAAGAAATTGAACTTGTAACGACCCGAACCCGTAGGTCCGAACCGTTAGTCGGGTCCTTAACCGAACCCGAGGTCAACTAGGGCGTAACACTATTCTTTTCTACGTCAATACATATTATACTTGTCATTCCTTTATAAAAAAAATAAGTACTAATAAATAAATAAATAATAAAATGAGATTATAATTACAAAGTATGTCAAAACGGTCTACTAACCCATCAAACCCTGTGGAGGAGCGTCGTCCACCACCTACCTTCCATGTCCTGAAAAATGTTAATGTAATGGGGTGAGCAAATTGCTTAGTAGGTAGCGTCTAAGACCCACCTCTTGTAGCCCCGTGAATCCAAACAATGAATAGAAATAGAGAATAGGGATCATAATAGGCCGAAAAAGAATACAACATCAAATCCAATTTCAAAATAACAATGTCGTGCCATGATATGTGATGCCATGAATGTCGCTCCCCATACTTAAAATCATTTCCATTCTTCACCTTTCAAACCGTTAATGTAACCCTCTTCAGTAACCCCTCAGCGACGAGAGAAGGATTGGCAATTGTACCTAACCCTTGGTACCCCCGCGGCGTCATTTGGGGCCCAGATAAATCAACCACGCTAGGGCGATCTCCCTAATTCCCTCTAGGTTACATTAACACCACGGATCCTCGGTACCCCCTTGGCGTCCGGTTTTCACAAAATTCTATCTCAAATCTTTTTCCCAACACCCCTTTTTCATTTCAAAACATTTCTTTGTACCCTTTTTCATGCCCATGCTATGAATGCATATCACATGTCTCTTTAATACTATGAATATGGAGAGAATTATTATCACACAATTAACATACTTCCACATAAAATTTCCAATAAATTATTAAGCATCATAGGCATGGGAAAATTAACATATTAAGCATACTTTACAATAATTCTTGTAAAATTTTCATAAGCTTCCATGTATCATTTTTAGCAATTTTGTCAACACAATAACATATAAAAATCAATAATGAAGCATGACAAGTAATTCTAAGGAAATTTCCCTAAGCTTCCATATATCATTTTTACCCAATTCAACAACATAATAAGTATGAAAAATTAACATTTAAACATGCTTTCTATACAAATCCAACAATACACCTAATAACATGCTTCATATACCCAAGTAAATCAATTAAAAAAATAATCAACTCAAATTAAACATACTTAACATAAATTATAATAGAAAATTCACAAAGGTGCAAGAAAAATAGGAATTAGAGATCCTTACCTTGAAAAAGAACTTTTTCTCACTAAATCACCAAAGCTTCTAAGCTCCAAGACCTCCTCTGTTTCTCAAACTCTCAGCTCACTATGCCTTCACGCTCTGTATCACTCCAATTTTATCTTTCGTTCTGTATTACCAAAGTCAAAAGCATATACAAATATAGAGGAAGTCCACCAACACAACAAATATCTCAATATAGCTCACTAACAAAATCATTTCAATTTATAAATCCTACATTTTTGCCTGGAAAAACATTATCCAAAGTAGTAGTTTCAATTTATAAACAAAGAAGAAACTGGGTTTGCTGTGCTTATATTAGAATAAACTGGATTTGTCCTTTTATTTTTTCTAAAATAAACTGGGTTTGCTGTGGTTATATTAGAATGGTCTAATATGCTTAACTAGTACCCTAACATGTCATTAGAAATGGAAGAAGGTTGTCATATGCAAGTCACTTCAAATGAAGACTTTAATGACGGGGAGAAGATTGAAGGAATGTTACCTGGGGATGAAGTGGAAAAACCTATGGTTGGGATGGTTTTTCCTTCTGAAGAAGAGATTCGTAGTTATTATAACAACTATGCAAAGAGTCAAGGTTTTGGTGTAATAAAAATTAGTGCAAAGAATGGAAGAGATGGAAAATCAAGGTATTTTTCACTTACATGCGCTAAATATGGAAATCGAAACTCAACTAGAAAAGACCGTTTGCATCCAAGGCCTTTAACTAAGACCAATTGCAAGGCCAAAATCAATATTACGGCTAAAGATGATGGAAGATTCATTATTGTTCGTGTTTACCTTGATCACAATCATGCATTAAGCCCAGGAAAAGTACGACACTTTCAACGTAATAAGGTGCTAGATTCTCATGTCAAAAGAAAATTGGAATTAAATGATACAGCTGGTATAAAATTGAATAAAAATTTTCATGCATTGGTTGTTGAAGCTGGTAGGTATGAAAATTTGACATTTGGTGAAAAAGAGTGTAGGAATTATATTGAAAAAGCAAGACGACTTTGACTTAGGATTGGAGATACCGAAGCCCTTCGTAACTACTTTTGTGCATGCAAAAAAGAAATTCAAATTTTTTTTACGTGATTGACATGGATGATGAAGGGCGCTTAAGAAATGTGTTTTGGGCTGATGCAAGGTGTCGTGCTGCATATGAATCATTTGGAGATGTTATTACATTTGACAGTACTTACCTTACAAATAGGTATGACATGCCGTTTGCCCCATTTGTTTGGGTGAATCATCATGGACAATCTATATTGCTTGGTTGTGGTTTGCTTTCTAATGAGGATATCCATACTTATACATGGTTATTTGAGTCGTGGTTAACATGCATGCAGGGGTCTGCTCCAAAAACTATTGTTACAGATCAGTGTAAGGCTATTCAAGCAGCGATTGCGAAGGTATTTCCAAATTCTTCTCATCATTTATGCCTTTGGCATATCATGCAAAAGGTTCCTGTGAAACTTAGCGGACTATCTCAATATGAAGTAATTAAGAAAACCTTAAAAAGCATTGTATATGAATCGATTAAGATTGATGAGTTTGAAAGTAGTTGGACAAAAATGATTTTGCAATTCAATCTTGAGAATAATAAATGGTTGAAGTCACTATATGGGGATCGTCATCGTTGGGTTCCAGTATTTGTGAAAACTACCTTTTGGGCAGGAATGTCAACTACCCAACGAAGTGAAAGTATGAATTCTTTTTTTGACAGGTATGTTCATTCAAAGACCACGTTGAAGCAATTTGTTGAACAATATGACAATGCCTTGAAAAGTAAAGTTGAGAAAGAAAATAAGGCAGATTTTGTTTCTTTTAGTACCACCATTCCTACAATAACTAAGTTTTCTATTGAAGTACAATATCAAGAAGTTTACATGCATGATGTGTTTAAGTTTTTTCAGGATGAGTTGAGGGGTTTAATGTATTGTAATGTCTTTAACATTAACAGAGACGCGTCAGTGTCTACATTTGTAGTTAATGAAACTATTATAGGAGAAGGTGGAATATGTTGGAAAGAGGTGGATTATGAAGTTATTTATTGCAAAACTGAATGTAAAGTGCAATGCTTATGCCATTTATTTGAATTTTGAGGCATTTTGTGCAAACATGCAATTTCCGTGATGATAAAAGAAAAGGTAAATGAGGTTCCATCTCATTATATTTTAGAACGTTGGCGAAAGGACATCAAGCGTGGGTACACTTTTGTGAAAAATACTTATGATGATGTTAGTAATAGTGAGCAAAGGCATCGAGGCAATAAGTTGAATCCATTTTTTCATTAACTTCAAGAGCTTGGAGTAGACTCTGATCATAAGTGTGAGTTTCTAATTGAATTATTGAAAGAGACAAAGGAAAAATTGCTTACCATGGACTCAGTTTCTGGGAGTGGACAAATCCATGGAGTTCTGAATGATGCCAGCAGGTTACTTACTCCATTAAAGGTGCGTGCCAAGGGTCGTCCGCCTTCAAAACGGAAAGAAAGTATAGTTGGCAAAATAATTAAAAAAGGAAAGAAGGTATTAGAAAACTTTTGTTGCTGAATTAGTTTTTAATATCAAGTTATATTATATTTTTTGTTTATTAATTTTTTGTTTGAATGCATGCTAATAGATATCTCAAAGACTAACAAGAGAGCCACTTGGTGAAAAAGATGGCTCACATGTTGACAAAATTTTGACTCATGAAAGTCACATGGTAAACTGAATTATAGCAATCATGTATTTATTTAACTTACCATTGCATAATTGTATTGATTCCAATGCGTTTTTTTTTTCTTCTTGGTATAGCAGATTGCTCCAACTGCTTGGAATGGCATGTATTCGGGGGCAGTTATAAATTATTGCAACTGTGCAGATAAACTCACTCCAGGTAATTAAGAAATCAATTTGGTCATATCCTACAATGACTTTAAAACATTATTTCTTACTTCTCTGTTTTCAATAATGATAGGTGTATCCACCACACTACATGTCAATGAGTGACCCCTCTTGGCAAAATCATAACTTCGACCACACTTCGAGTGAAAAAAATATTGAGCCTAAGATTACTTACGAATGTATATTTTAGTGCTAGTACACTAGTGATTAAAATGTTGAAGGTATATGAAATTAATTGATTTTTTTTGTTTGCAGGTTCTCTTTGTGATGGAATCCAGCGCAACAGATTTGATGCGGAATTTTAGTGATGAAGTTGTGTTGCAAATGTATGCTCTCAATAAGTTTTTTGGATAGACAGACATTGAGTACAATTTTGTAAATGTCTGAATGGTGTTTACCAATTATGCAATGATATGCAAATGTATTTTGAATTTGGAGTATGGTTCTTGTTTCTGTTTCCTTCAACAATGTCCTGTGTCCATAGCTGTTTCAATGGAAAATGGGAGGTGTGGCTTATATTTTTTCCCTGTGTCCATAGTTGTTTCAATGGAAAATGGGAGGTGTGGCTTATATTTTTTTCCTTCAAATTCTTTAACATGTTAAGTAAGGCAGCTTGTTCTTCAAGGTTTTATTATACCTCCAATTTCTAAGCTCCCAAACACAATGCCTCAAATATCAAAAACCCCCTGAGAAAATGAAGAGAAAAAGTAGAAGAAATCAGTTCATGAGAACAAACCAATTTTTTAAGGATCAAAAGACAATCACTCAAAAAACAAAAAATTAAAATTATTGAAAACGCAATTCTTTTTTCTTTTTTTTTTTTTTTTTTTTCATTTTTTCATTTTTTCTCAGAACAGAGCTTTGCATTATGGAGGTATTGAAAACGCAGTTCTCTCTAGGGCTTGGTTATCCAACCACTTTCCTCAATCAAAAACACATAAGCCAATAACAATCATGATTAACAGCAGAATTAACCCAACTTTTAGATCTAATTGAACAAAACCCAGTACTTCGATTTGCAAATCACACCTATTAAACCAACTAGAAATAAAAAGCTGCAAGACGATGCACCACAATCAGCCACAAGACGATGAACGCCACCACGCCCCACGGCGTGCTTCCCTAGGACAGCCGTTTGTCAGTCCGGCGTTGCCGATCGTACGGAGACGAGATGAAGAATCTCTCAGGATTCTCTATAATTGACAACCAACGGGCATCAATCAGTATGAACACTGGTATGACAAAGAGTACCCAACCCAAAGAGTTTTTCCTGAGTGCAGCGTAAGAATCTTGGAAAAAGAAAAAGGGAACAAGAAAAAGAGAACATGGAAGCGCCATAGGAGAGAGAGAGGAGAAAGATAAAGAGATGAGAGAGAGTAAAGTTGTGCCAAGAAGGGTGAAAACGTCTACCTAGTTGAACCAATCTGAATTTGACAACTGTCTATCGATTAAAGTCGGGTGAACAGTAGTCGGGTCTTTTAGCATTTCTCTTCTTTTTCTCATATTGCATTTCTTTCCTCACTAATTTCGATGGCAGGTGCATCTCCTTTGCACCAGACAATATATATCTATATATGTCTAAATAAAGTAACTAAATCAACAACCGTTGTGGGACCCACGAAACTCACTACATTTCCATCACCATTTTCTCTTCAATTTCGCTGGGAGCATGCTTTGCACCAAAATATATATATATATATATATATATGTAACAATTAAAAATCAAACCCATTATTCTTCAAAGCCAACAAAGTCACGTGGGACCCGCACCAAAACCTTTTCCAATTTCACTCACTCTTTATCACCTTCGGCAGGAAGTTTCCTTATTCCATCATATAGACACAAATATATATATATATATATATATATATATATAACACAAAATTACAAACTGCAAGCCTCCAATTAATTAAATACTCAATCCTAACTAAAAATCACGAAATAGATTAAATTAAAATCCTAAACATTCGGGTCATCGCAAAACTTTTGTCCTACAGAGGTAATTTAGCTTTGTCAGGAGGCTGATTTTTTGTGAGATTTTTCCATTGAAGGAATTGTTTTGTGTGTCAGTGAGAAAATTAGTATTGTGACAAGCGCGTGCGAGGCTTGACTCGGCATGTGTGAATTAATAAATAAAATAAAACCAAAGGAATTCTATAATAAAAGAAAATTTATCTCACAACAGTCTTGCAGAAGATATTCCACCATCTTTAAACAATTTGACTCAGAGAGTCATTCGACCTTTAAAATATTTTTATCAGAACATATTAAATTTTTTAAGTAAGATATTTATTTTTCGATGTTTGGCGAAAGTCAAAGTCAAAGTTAAGGTCCAGTTCATTATGTTGGACATGTAAAATAACTTGTCGAGTTAATTGGCCATATATTCGACTTGATTTCAAAGTTTATAAATAATCTAGTAAGAAGCTTACACATGAACTCATATTACTCGAGTTCAGTTTGAACGGCGCACCTAAAATAGTTGGCCTACATAAAAACTAATATATATATTTTTGAATTAATTAATAAATATTGACTTGACTTAAAATACTAACTCTTTTTTTTCCTAAGCAATTATTAATTTTATTTTTTTTCAAAAGCAAACTTTTTTTTTTTCAAAAGCAAACCATTTTTTTCCTTTATATATTATTTTTTAAACAAAAGCAAACCGACTTAAAATGACTTTACAAGATAAATGACTAGTTTACGATTTATAATTAGCAGAATTTGACTTCTAATTCACCGTCAGCTGGACCAAAGCTTTATTAGTTCATTTAGTGTATGTTCACACTATAAGCACCGAGTATTGGAAAGTGATCGTTTCGTCCACCATGTTTATTTTTCAAAATTTTCAATGAGAGTTCCTTACTTGACTTCTGTGTCTCCAGGTGTTAAACACTATAAATGGGGGTGAATTAACATGAAATTTTGAACAAAACCAAATATGACAGGTTTTCAAAAACACTACATTTTTCTTTCCCTTATTCTTGTTCTCTCTTCATTTCCATTGGCAGTCACATCATCAAAGACAGAAGCTGAAGCTCTTCTAAAATGGAAGAATAGCTTGTCATCATCTTCTAATTCCATTAGTTCATGGTCTGTCACCAACCTCAAAAATGTTTGCAACTGGACTGGCATTATCTGTTACAGTACCGGAACTGTATCAGAGATAAACCTGTTCGACGTAAATCTCAATGGAACACTTGCCCAATTCAATTTCACTTCATTTCCATTTCTCACCCGTTACAACCTCAAGAACAACAAGCTCAGTGGGTCAATTCCATTTACAATTGGAAATCTGTCCAAGCTCGCTTTTTTGGACTTGAGTTTCAACTTTTTTGAGAACATCATACCTTCCGAGATTGGATGGTTGACCGAGCTTCGGTACCTCAGTTTGTCCGGCAACGCTCTCCATGGTATCATTCCATATCAACTCAGCAATCTTCAGAAGGTATGGTACTTAAACCTTGGATCAAACTACTTAGAAACTCCAGATTGGTCAAAATTTTCAGGCATGCCTATGTTGACTCATCTTGACTTTAATCTCAATGAGCTTACCTCTGAATTTCCAGAATTCATACTCATATGCCCGAACCTCACATACCTTGATTTGTCACTCAACCATTTCACTGGCCCAATACCTGAGTTGCTATTCACCAATCTTGCCAAGCTTAAATATCTTATACTCTTCAGTAATTCATTTGAAGGGTTGTTGTCATCAAATATTTCAAAGCTTTTGAAGCTCAAATATCTTCGTTTGGGTAAAAATCAGTTTGTCGGCTCAATTCCTGAGGAGATTGGACTGGTTTCGGATCTTCAATTCATTGGACTGTATAACAATTCATTCCAAGGAAAGATTCCTTCTTCCATAGGCCAACTCAGAAAGCTTCAAACACTTGAACTACGAATGAATGAGTTGAATTCTACAATTCCTTTTCGGCTTGGCTTCTGCGCTAAGCTCACATACTTGGCTCTAGCCAAGAATTCACTTACCGGGCCCCTACCTTCGTCCCTGTCCAATCTAACCAAAATATCTCATTTTTACGCAAATGACAATTTTCTTTCTGGTGAGATCTTACAATATTTCATTACCAATTGGACTGACTTGGAATCGCTATCCCTTTATAACAATTCCTTCACTGGTAAAATTCCACCTGAAATTGGCCTATTGACAAAGCTCGTTTTCCTTTATTTGTACAAGAATCATCTTTCTGGCTTGATCCCGCCTGAGATTGGAGTCTTGAAAGAATTGGTGGACTTGGACCTTTCGGAAAACAAACTCTTAGGTCCAATTCCTCCATCAATTTGGAATCTCGCAAAGCTCAGAGTCTTGCACCTGTTTGACAACAACCTTACTGGAACAATTCCACCTGAAATTGGAAATTTGACACTGCTGACTTCTCTTGATCTGAGGCATAACAAATTGAATGGTGAGCTGCCTGGTACAATGTCTTTCCTTGCTAATCTACAGAGGCTCCTCCTTTCAAACAATTCCTTCACTGGTAGAATTCCACCTGAAATTGGAAATTTGAAATTCTAGATACTCTTGATTTAGGGAGCAACCAATTAAATGGTGAAATCCCAGCTCAGCTAGGCCGCCCGACTCAATTGCGCTTTCTTAGCCTGTTCTCAAATGAAATAACTGAAGAAATACCACATACCATTTGCAACTTGAGTTCTCTTCAATATCTTGATCTGTCCAATAACAGCATGCGCGGTGTGATTCCACAATGTTTAGCAAACTTCAGTAGTGAACTCTCTGCGCTGGATCTGCGAATGAATCACTTTCACGGACCCATTCCAACAACTTTCGCAAAGTGCAACAATTTGAGGAATCTCGGCTTGAATGGCAATCAATTGGAAGGGTCGGTACCACATACTTTGATCAATTGTAGAAACTTAGAAGTTCTCGATCTTGGAAACAACAAGATAAGTGATACATTCCCCCATTGGGTGGAAAATCTTCCAAAATTGCACATTCTTGTGTTGCGATCAAATAGATTTCGAGGTACAATAGGCACTTCCACGAGTAAACTACCCTTTCCTAAGATGCGAATACTCGACCTCTCTCACAACGAGTTCACCGGCCCCTTGCCTGCAAAATTTTTCAAGAATTTCAAAGCCATGATGAATGTTGATGAACATAAAACGGTCCTGGAATATATGGGAACCTCTTATTACGATGATCATGTGAAGGTGGTGGTGAAAGGGATTGAGATTGAATTGGTGAGAATCCTAACCATCTTCACAACCATTGATTTGTCCAGCAACAACTTCCAAGGGCAGATTCCAAACTTCATTGGAATGCTTAATTCACTACGGTTGCTCAACTTTTCTCACAACAGTCTTGCAGGACATATCCCATCATCTCTGAAAAATTTGAGAATGCTTGAATCATTAGACCTCTCTTCCAACCAATTGGTGGGGGAGATTCCTTGGCAACTGACAAGCCTAACATTTCTTTCAATCTTGAACCTTTCTCAAAATCATCTTGTTGGACCGATACCTCACGGTCAACAATTTGATACATTTGAAAATAATTCCTACTCTGGAAACCTGGCATTATGTGGATTACCGTTGACGAAGAAATGTAGAGATGACGAACCACCAACACCACCGCATCAAGAAGACGATTCAAATTTTGCAAGTGGATTCACTTGGAAAATTGTCGTGATGGGATACGGATGTGGATTTTTATTTGGATTAGTTATGGGTTGTCTTGCCTTCTTTACTGGAAAACCAACATGGTTTGTAAAGATCATTGAAGGTGAACGTCACAAAACTGAGAGAAGATTGAATAGGAATGCTCAAGGACGTGCAAGGAATAGAAATCAGCGAACACAACAACGAACCAACCTGCGCTGGTAATGTATCTATGTTGATTGAATTTGTCACTACTTAGTTGTTCTATGCTGCTTTCTGATTTACCCATAGTAGTGTGTATTTACTACTAGTACCAAGTAGTATGCCTGAATGTTGCTAAAAAGTTCAAGAGACATGTCGAATGCGACTCTGTTATGACTCTGTAATACTTGGAAATGTCCTTTTGTTTTCTATTTCATAAAAGTATTTTGTCTCTCGGGCTTTGAAAAAACAAGAGTATTTTCCAGAAAACATGCTTCAGAAAATCACTTGCATGAACAATTTAAATGTAATAAGTTAAAAACGTAATTTCATACCTAATAGTAAATAAGTTAATTTCTGTCTAGCATTTTTAGCATGTATTATGTTTGTGATAACCATGTTTTTATTTTTCCTTTTCTCACATATTTCATTCATGTGCATTACATATTTAAATGGGATGGGGATATGTGTAATGGGATTATTTTAGGCTTTTCTAAGAGTTAAGTATTCTTATAATTGTGTTTAAGATAATTTCCCTTCACTTTGGGTTCATGGGCTGGGAGGTCGCTTGTGTGAGCCCAGGTTGGATTGTGTATTAGGAAATTATTTCCGACACCATTTTGAGGAAATTTGGTGGGGCCCTTGTTTGACTTTTGGGGAAATTGTGTATATCTAAGTGAAGTGAGAGGAAGAGAGAAGGGTCCATGTAAGCGATTGGGTGTTTTTCTTTACATAAACATGTTAATTTAAGTAATTATAATATTGACAACTTATAGATTGCTAGTATGTTAGTAAATCATGATTTTATAAGTAGAATTGTGCCATAGCATGATTTAATTGGCCATGTTTTGGGTGAATTGTATAAAATCATGCTGAATAATTATTTATTTCTGATTTGGACTTGATTACTAGCATGTTACTTGCTGAAGTATGCCTCCTTGTCATTGTAATTGGAATTTAGCATGTATAGGATGACAGACAACGCTTAAAGTGTTATATGTGTGAATTAGTTACCATGAACCATGTTGGAAAATTATAAATTCTTGCTGGACATTAAATACCATTTGTTGTAAAACTGAATAATTGCTGGAAAGTTGGTTAATTGCTGAAATTTTGTTTAGCTGCTGGGAAATATGTTTATTTGCTGAAAATTATCTTTAATTGCTGAAAATTGTACTTAATTACTAAAAATTATATTGAAATTCTGGAAAATGTATTTATAAGTTGGAAATTTGTTTTAAATTTCGAAAGAGGTAATGATTGTAACATTACTATTGTTGTAGCTTGTGAAGTTAATTCTCATCGTCTCACCATTCATGGCATTGTGTGCGTGTGTGATGGAAGGTAAGTGTGAGGATTGAATTTCATAAGTTTGTGGGGTTGATTTCCTAAGTTTGTGGAAAATGGGATTGCTTATGGTTAAAATAGGAAGGGCTTGGCCTTAGGGTTGAAAATCCAAAAACTTGGCCAAAGAGGTGTCGTTACCGACGGGCTAGTAACCCGTGAAGCGAGGGTAGGGATATGAGAAAGTACCCCATATTTGGTTGTGAACCAGTCCATGTGTTTGTGTGGATTTTTGGATCACAAGGTTGTGTTGTGTGTGTGTCCATGTGGGGGGACTTCATGATTCATAGGTGTGCATTAGTATATGATTTGGATGGTGTTCCTAAAGTTATTTTGTTTGAATTATGTTGTAATACCAGCACACACGCCAACGTTATTTTACTCTTCGGAATTTGTAGTAACTAATAAATCTACTTATACTTCTATCCTCAAATCTTGATCCCTTCTTCCTTGTTTCACTGTGTGGCATGTGCTAATGTGAGCACGACTTACGAGACTTTAGGATGTGTTATTTAGCCACCCTCTACTGATCAATTTTAAGCTCACCCATTGACAACATTTCAGGTGAAAAACAAGGGAAGGGAAAGATTCCTCAATCTCAACCTTGAGGTTGCACATGTGAAGCTTGGAATGTGTTTTGATCATACTAGCTGCTACTTTCTTAGTGGACTTGATTGTATATGGGTTGCAGCATGTATTTTGAAGCCATGTTTATAGTATTTTGGGTCCCATATACACATAATGATACTTATGTGTTTTTTTCAGTTGTGGCTAATAACTTATGTATCCTAGGCCTTGAAGGCCAAGTTTGTATCCTATTTGGTTTTATTGTTCAAAGCATGATTGTTGTTAAGATGGTTCACAAAAGTTTTTAGAACACATGGAATGACCATATTTAGACTTCCACATTTGAACTTGAGTGAGAATTCAATTCCTCACCTTTCCTATTCATGCACTGGTTCAATCGTTACAGGGGCGTGACAATTTTAGTGACATTGTCCTGCATTTGGAAGATTGACACCGATTCCGAAGAACAAGTACCTGAACTTTGATTTTCTAAAACAAGTGTTATCTAAATTGACTACAATTTGCAAAGGAAGCTACATGGCTTTATTTGTTTTTTCATTCGTCTACATTTATATCACATTAAGGCTCCATTTGTTTGGATGTAAAATTTTTTTTTTTTTTAGGCTAGCACTTGAACTCATGGGCAGGGCCCCTTCATAACCCACCACAGGCTACAAACCGGGGATGCTGTCGACGGCCTAATATTTTTTTATTTTCTGGTATTGAATTGTCGTAAAATATATACAAAGAAAAAAATATATTAAAATTTAACAAAAATAACTTACTTATTAATTTTCAACAAGTTATTTTATACGCTCATCCAATAGACTCACTTAATATTTTACATTGATACAAACGAGTTCAACTCTATTTAAATGTGCCTTTTTTTCTTTATTACATTTTCTGTTCGTCTTTTTATGTATTATAATTAAATCATCTCTCAACTCTCTCCCCTGTAAAAGATGTAAGCAGTATATATTCGTATAAATTACAACCTGAAACAAAACTAGGCAGAATGACATTTGACATGTGTTATATTGTTCGTATTCATATCTCTTTTCCTTCTTTGTTTCCATTGAATAGCACACCATCTTCAGCAAGAACCGAAGCTGAAGCTCTTCTCAAATGGAAGAACAATCGTTTAGATAAGAAAATGAGACAAATTCTACCGGTCAAACCCATTAGATTATAGAAATGATGGAAGGTAGTAAGAAAAGGAAAAAATATATATATTAAAAACACAAAATAAAATAAAGTAAAACCATTCAGATTTCGAATGAACCTATTCAAACTTGAAAAGGATTCTTTTTCAATCTCAATGAAGGATAAGGGATTGATCGAAAATAATCTATGATACTTATGAATGACATCATGATTGGATCCATATCCATTCTATGTATATAATATGTATGGATAATTTTTTATTTTTTTTATTTTTGTCACTTGTATATATGCTTATATTAAATGGATAAATTTTAGGACAAAACTTGCTTACTCACCGATAAGTAGGTCATTTCTACCGACCATGTAGTCCCCTGTAGTCCAATCATAAATGTATAAATAATTCGTAATTACAATATCAAAAAATAATAAATAAGTAATATTGTAATTATAGATTATTTATACATTTGTGTACTTGTATTAAACTAGATTAAGCATCAAATATATCTTAATATATTTCTTTTTCAAAAGAACTCCAATACATCATTTTACCAGCTATCAAAACCACTAACACTGTGTTTGGAATGCTGGATTTGATGGGATTTGGATTTAGAAATAGGATTTACAGTGTTTGGAATGATTGGATTGTGAATGGGATTTTAAAGTTATGGGATTTCAAATACTGTTTTTGATGTGTTTCAAATACTGTCTAAAATCGCAGGATTTGACGGGATTTGAAAGACAAATACAATATTATCTTAATTAACCTTAAACAATATCTACTTAACCAATTTCAATCTCTAACCGTCTTCTTCTCATTTAACCCTATCCTATTAAATATATACTAGCATATCTCTATCTTTAACGTTATTTAACTAACTTCATACTACTCTCTCATATAACTGTTAATCAATGTTATTTTACTATTTAGTGATTTTTTGTAAGTATGTTGGTGATGTTTAATAAGTTAATTTTTTAATTACAAAATAATTGCTCTTTTTTTACATGATTTGTTAAATAAGTAAATTTTATATTTCAGTTATATCATGTAGTCCTTCTCTTTGTTTGTCTATTTGATGTAACTTTGGAGCATATTTGACAATAAAATAAATATTTTATTTATCATTTAAACAACGGCAAAAATGGTATAATATTTTTTTTTATTCCAAATCCCCTTTTAAATCCAACTTTAAATTCAATTGGTTCCAAACATAGAAATGAAATTTCATTTTAATTCCAATTCCTTTTCTAATTTCGATTCCTTTTCCAAATCCTAAAATAATTGATTCCAAACAAAGCGTAAGTATTTAAAACTAAAGGACAAAGTGTATGCTATAATAAAAATAATCAACAAAAAATTAGGACTTTTATTATAGAATAATTTGATTCAATCCATCAAAAGATTGGCCATGTAACGACCCAGCTCCTGTTGGATCCAGATCATTAAACGGGTCCTTGCCCGAGCCAAAAACGTCCGAGGGTAATACAGTCATTTCACGTTAAATTTACATATCAAGGTCCGAAAAGGGTAAGATGGTAATTTGCCATATTCCAATAAATTAAGACTCAAAGGACGTAACAGTCATTTACGTGAATCACATAATAAATAAAGTGAGGTTCGGGTAGTCCTTTCGGTGATGAAAATATAATTATTGCATTTTAGTGGGTCATAAAATAATTACGTGTAACATCACTGGGTGCCAAAGTGTAATTTAAGAATTTAAAATAGCAATTACATATGAGACAGAAACCGGTCAACGTATATACATAATATGTCGACTGGTTTGGAACGTGTGTTACATTGGATATCGGTTGACGTATGGGAAACCATACGTCGACTGGTTTGGGACATGATACCGGTCGATGTATGGGAAGCCATACCTCGACTGGTTTGCAACGTGAGCCATAATGACTCACACTGTGAAGATACCGGTCGACATATAGGAAGTCAC